GGGAATGCTCTGGTGACACCAACTCAGCCACCCAGGGATGATCCAAGTGACACTGATCCAGCTCCTGATCCAGCTCCTGGGGAATGAGCCGTGTGACACCAACCCAGCCACCCAGGGATGCTCCCAGGGAATGCTCTGGTGACACCAACCCAGCCACCCAGGGATGCTCCTGGGGGATGCTCTGGTGACACCGACGCAGCCACACAGGGATGACACCGGGGAATGATCCTGGTGGCACTGACCCAGCCACCCAGGGATGATCCAAGTGACACCGACCCAGCCACCCAAGGATTCTCCCAGGGAATGCTCTGGTGACACCGACCCAGCCACCTCAGGATGCTGCTTCAGGAGAGCCCTGGATAACAGTGACCCGGCCACCCAGGCCAGTCCTTCAGGAGAGCCCTGGATAAGTGACCCAGCCTCAGCAGCCCCATTCCAGGCTGGACACCAGCTGGGATCCCAGCACTGCTCCCACCCATCGCAGTCCAGCATGGAGCACCAGGTGATGCTGGCTGTGTCTCCTCCCAGCATTGTCCAAACCCTGGATGGGGATGGGGACACTGTAACCCCTGCCACAGCCTGAAGCCTCAGCCCCATGGCTGGCTCCATCCCCAGCACTGCACTGAACCCAAAAATCCACATCCAACAGGGGCAAACACAGAAAAACTATTGAAAAAACTCTTGTGGGAATGTGCTGTTGTCCTTGTTTCCCCTGTGCTACAGGCTCTGTGGGTGGGAATCACTTCTGCTTTAGGAAAAAACCAAAACCCTGACATGTGTTTTCTGGCCCAGTTTGACCTCAAAAAAGCACCAGTGAGAAGATCTGTGTTTTGGCAGAGGATAGCATGAATGCCTCCAAGTACACAGTGGCTCCTGGCACGTAGGGACAGGACTGATCCCTGCTCAAAGCCCCAGAAAAGGCTTTGGAAGAGCTCCTGGATAGCCCCTGGAGCCCCACTAGCCCACCCTGGAGAGGATGGGGCTTGGTGCAGGGGAAGCACAGGGTGAAAGCCAGAGACACAAAAGTTTGGATGTCCCACAGTGCTGTGTCCAGCCACAGACGTTCCCATGCTGGGAATGTGAACTCGATTCCCAAATTTAACAGTGTCTGTACAGCACAGTGATGAAAACTGAAGTACTTCAGCCACTGGTACAGCCAGGGAAGCAAACAGAAGTCTCCTCACTCCAGATTTAGCTCTTTATTGATTTTCCAGCTGCATCCATCAGTCATTGTCCCAGTGCTAAAATTACCCATTAGAGATACCATAGAAATGAGAGGAAAACAAGACAGCCTTGTGGTTTTGATGAAAAACGCTAAACATCCCAAACAGAAACTTCTGAAAGGAAAAACCTTCCTTCTTTAGGATGAGGACTGGGTTACATTTATTCTTGAACAGCTCAGAGGACTCTTGGCTGCTTGTGGTCCGGGGCTTGACCATGTCCCATGGCCCTTACTGCCTGTGCCACTGGCAGCACTGTGCCAGCAGGAGGGACTCAGAGGCCTCCCTCCAGCCCAGCTTGTCACCTGTGTCAGAGCCAAGGATAAACATAAATCCAGCTTCAAAATCCACATGACTGCACTGGATGTCCTCTGTCCATGCTGCTGCTTCCTCTCACCTACAGTGACTCCCTGCAGGTGACTGCAGCTGGGTCACATCCTGCAGGTCAGCCCCAGAGATGAGATGATCCCTGTCTGAGATGTCCCTGGGATTAGAGGGATGTCCCCTGTGCTTGTGTCCATCACCCCACAGCTGCATTGAGGAGATGTCCAAGGGTCTGGGACTGGAGATGCTGTTAACATCCCGTCTACATGGAAATGCCCTTCCTCAGGGTTTGACTACATGAGTTTGATAGGGTGTGGGTGAATGGCTTTAAACTGAAGGAGCGTAGGTTCAAATTACATATTAGGAAGAAATCCTTCCCTCTGAGGGTGGGCAGCCCTGGCACAGGTGCCCAGAGCAGCTGTGGCTGCCCCTGGATCCCTGGCAGTGCCCAAGACCAGGCTGGACACTGGGGGTGGAGATCCTGGGACAGTGGAAGGTGTCCCCGCCATGGCAGGGAGCGGAGCTGGATGGGCCTCTAGTTCCATTCCAACCCAAACCCTTCTGTGATTCTATCAATAAATCTCTGACCTCCACCTTGTGGAGAGACTCCAACCCAAGGAGCTGCACCATGACCCTGTGGCTCACCCAGGCTGCAGGGGGAAGTCCCCAGGGTCCCCTGCTCCACCCAAAGATGTCCCCAGAGGGGAGGGCTGTGCTGGGGTGGGCTGGCTGTGCTGACTCAGCAGCACACACCCTGTGTAAACGCCCGCCAGCTGCTGCTGCTCCAGCCGCTGTTTGCTCAGCCCACGCTGCTCTGTTTGCCTTAGGGATCACGATGGAAGGAGATGGCCTTTGGTCCAGAAAATGAGGCAAGGCAGCTCCAGGCACCTGCCTCAAGGATCCTCCAGCATCTCTGCTCCTCTAGCTCCTGCCCAGGCTGCTCAGTAGCTGCAACCCACCAGCATCACCCAAATTAAAAACTCCACGGAGCTTTAGGAGTTACAGGAAAATGCACTCGCCACAGCATAACCCAGCTGCCATGCAGCCAGGAAAATTATTTATTATCATTTCCTTGTAACAGAGATATGGAAAAAAAAAGCACCCACCCTCCATAGGTGCAAACAACAGCAGCTGCAGCATCCACATTGGAATCTCTGTACATCAGAGTGTAAAGTCCATTGGGGAAAAAAAATTCAATCCAAGTTGTTTTTTTTTTTTTTAAAAACCTCATGACCTAAAACCAGGAACCAGAAAAAACAAAGTGGTTGAGAAAATGGGTTGGGCCCCTCCCTCTTGCTATAAAATACATATTTCTAAGGCGAAGTTTCACAAGACCAGAAGCGAGGTTCCTAAAGAGTCTGAGCTTGCAGCTGGAGACAACGCACAGGTGAGAAGGCACTGTAGGCACGAGAACCTCCACCCACCCTGGTGCCTCAGTGGCCAGCGTAGTCCTTGGTCTCCACCCCGGTCTCGTTGAGCACCGTCGTCCTCGTGATGGCCTCGGTGACGGCGTAGGGGTCACAGTTGGCCGCCGGCCGCCGGTCCTCGAAGTAGCCGCAGCCGTCCTGGCCGACCTGGCGCGGGATGCGGATGCTGGCGCCTCGGTTGGCCACGCCGGCGGAGAACTCGAAGATGTTGGAGGTCTCGTGGTGGCCGGTGAGGCGCCGGGAGTTGTCCCTGCCACCCCGCGGGTCGTACACGCAGATGTGGTAATCGTGCCGCTTGCTCAGCTTCTCGATGGCAGCTTCGATGTGCCTGTGGGAGAGGAGAGGGGGTTCAGTAGGTCCATCTGGGGGGTTGTCACCCCCTCCTCCTGTGCAGGGACAAGGACAGCTCAGGAGATCCCTCATATAATCAGCTGCTCTTAAAATAATGAGCTGGGACAACCCCAACCCTGCCTGGTGCAGCCACACAGGTGGGGAGACACTTCCATATGGCTCAGGACACCCCCAACCTCCCAGGTACATCCCAGGGAGCCCCCAAGGACTCACTCGAGTCCTGAGCCTCCCCTTGAGACCCCCCAGGACTCACTTGAGACCCCCCTCTCTGCGCATCTCCTCGGTGCTGTAGTTGGTGTGACACCCAGCGCCGTTCCAGTTGCCGGTCATCGGTTTGGGGTCCAGAGTGGCCACAACCCCAAAGTCCTCGCAGACACGGTGCAGGATGAAGCGAGCCATCCAGAGGTGATCCCCCATCTCAATGCCTTCACACGGGCCCACCTGGAATTCCCACTGGAAGGGACGAGCAGAGGCACAGGTAAGGATGGGCAGGTGGGCGCCTCCCCAGCCACCACATCCCTGCCACTCCCAGCCTGGGCCGTGGCTGAATGTTACCCTTGGGAATCAGCAACAAGGATGGGGAGCATTGAGGCAAGCAGCAGGACAACTTTGGCAAACAAAAAAAAAAAGGGAAGAAACTGCTCGTTGCTATGTAAAGCAAAAACAGAGGGGTTTTTAAATCAAAACAGAGGTAAATAAACACCATGTCTGCCTGATGCTGGAGCTGCTGTGAGCAGGACCCCCAGCCCACACTGCAAACAAGGCAGAGGATTAACAAGGAGCCTGTTAGTCCTTCCCAGGGCTGCTCCCTGCCTGGCTGGAGCCAGGCTTGCACCACCCACGTTACTAAGCACAGGGTGACGTCTTTGTGGCTGCTGGCATGGAAGAGCCCGAGCCCAGGATGTGGAAGGCAACCAAGAAGGACCTTTAAGAATTTGGGGCAAACAGCGGGGTGGGTAAAAGTCCTGCCTCAGCTCCACTGCTGATAAGCCCCTGCTTATCACCACCACATCAGCAGCAGGAGAGCCAGGACCCGCAGTCGGTCAGTCTGGCCACCTGCCTAACGCAATCAGGGGCTCCCTGCTGCTCACGCCTAGATAAACCCAAATCCTCCCAACTGCTCCCCAAGGCCATGTCCCACCCCACATTCCCAGTTCCCAGCTCCAGAACAGGGCTCAGACCCCATCACTCCACATGGTGCTCCTGCAGCCTGTCCCAGCTCCTGCTGTCCCCACATCCCTGTTCCCACAGAGGAGCTCCCAGCTCTGCTCTGGCAGCCAGAGCTCAGGCTGAGCTGTGCAAGCAACTCAGGGTGAGTTAGGAGAAAATCAAGTGCACATTTCCATTCCAGCACTGCAACTGCTCCCAGCTAAGCAAAACTGATGTGAGGAGTCACTGGATTTGGTGTTCCAGAGGAGCTGGGAGTTGCTGGCTTATTCCAGCCCCACGATAACTCCTATCCATCACTGGGAATGGGCTGCCTGGGGCCATCCACACCTACCTGGGAGGGCATCACCTCGGCATTGGTGCCACAGATCTTCACCCCCGCATAGAGACAAGCCTTGTAGTGGGACTCCACGATATCACGCCCGTACACCTTATCTGCTCCAACCCCGCAGTAATAGGGGCCTGGAAAGAACAAGAAGTCAGCACCCAAGGAAAGCTTCAGGGAGCAACAACAGCACTGTAACATAATCCCACGCTCCCAGATACCTGCTGCCATGGGCAGAGGATTCATGGGAATTAAAATGTTTCTCTCCACAGGATATCGGGCCACCGAGCCCAGCTCCAGGACTAGCAGTGTGAGCAGTTCATCTGTGAAACCTCAGCCTTATCTTGGCAGCTCAATAATACTTGTAACACATCAACTGGGAGGTGACCTCGAGATAAGGAAAGTTTGGTCTGCCCAGGGGCACCTCCCTCACCCTCTGAGCACATCAAACCTCCGAGATTGTTCTGACAACAGCTGGCATTGTTCACGGCTAAGAAAATCCAATTCGCTGGGGCTTGATATCACCCCCATTCAAGCAGGTAAGGCAAAGATCTTCTCCCCGCCTCGGGGAAGGGAGGTGTTGCAAGCAGCGGGTCTGCACAAAAATCAGGCTGGGGAAACTCAGTCTCTCTCCAGGAGGCAGACGAGGAGCTGGCTCGCTGCTGCAGGAGGGCACAGCGCGCCATGCCAAGCCCTTTCCCCAGCAGCCGAGGGGAGGAGGTTTCCCAGCCCTTGCCAAACAAGTCGTGCAGCTGAGCTGTTTGTGCAAGCAGGGTCCGGGGGAGCGGCGCGGCTCACCTGAGCCAGGGGCGCCAGGTGCTCTCGGCAAACAGCCCCTACCTGGGGCCATCCCTGACAGCAGAGCTGCACCCAGCTGGGATGGGCTGATGCCACCTCCCAGCACCCACAGGCAGCACGCTGGGAGCTGAGGGGGATTTGGGGCTGGGGCAGGGGGGAGCTCTTACCCTGCGGGCCAGGGAAGCCGTTGTCGGGCCAGCCGTAGGGGTGGCCATTGATGCCCAGCAAGGTGTACTCCTGCTCCATCCCGAACCAGGGGTGGCTGTCCTTCACCAGGTCCATGACTTTCTTGCACGTGTGTCTCAGGTTGGTCTCTGGGGGCAGAGAGGTCCGGGTTAGAGCCGTGCTGTGAGCCAGCACCCACCAGGCTCTGCTCCATCCCACCCCGAGAGGCTCCAGCACTGCCAAGGGCTTCCCACAGAAGCCTTAAGGAAATCATGAGTGGATCCCCCTTCCTGCTCACCAAATTCCTCCTCACAGTTACTCCATCACCAGAGCATCAGGCCACAGGTCAAAAGGGTTTAATTACCCCGTTCTCCAAACCACTGCTGATGGTCCATCCTCCTCCTCTTACTCACGGTGAGACAAGGAGCCTTACCCCAACCCCATCCTACAGGCATTCAGCAGACCTGAGAACAGGGACTTCCATCACTCCTTCACCCCCATCCTTTCTACCAGCCTCATCCTAATTATCCTCATCTTTCTGCAGCTCCATGGTTTTGGTTAGCATCCAGACTGGCTGCCCTGCCTTGGCCTTTTGAGGTGCTCAAGGCAACTGGGGCTTTGCCAGGAAAATACAGAGAGCAGAGCACTGTCCAGACATGAACCAGCTAGGCAAGGGGAATGAGAGCTTGGACCAAGACATCAGTGAAAAAGGCTGAAAAACTGCTGTGACAGGGACAGGCAGGCTCCAGGCTGCACATTCTGCCCTAACTTGCAATAAAACCCCAGAGCAGCTACAAAAGAGCGTGGGGCTGGAGGGAAGCAGTGGCAGATGGGGAGCAAGGGTAAGAATTTCTTCCCCTGAGCCCACACAGCCCTTGAAGTCCACAGAAACCCACCACGGGAAGGGCTGGAGGGTTCACCCCTCTCACCATCAGGGCTCTGGGCTGAGCTCTCTCTGCCCCAGGAGCCCCAGGATCAGGCTCCCTTTACAAACTGCAGGGGAGGAGCTGCCAGGCAGAAATCTCAACCCAAGACACGTCCCCCAGCCGTGTCTGGACGCTGCCGGAGGAGGAACCAGCCCCGTCTTTCACCATCCTTGCCCGCCGCTCTCCCAGCAGAGCTGCATCACCAGCAGATGCCCTCTCCCTCCCCCTCACACCCAGCGGCGCACGGCCCTGCTCGAGTGGCAAATATCCGGTTATTTACCGGCAAATAACCCCTCCGGGAGCCCCTCAGCACGTCCCTGCAGACGGGCTCCTTTTCCTGTGTCCGGGGCTTTATCACGGGGACAAGACGGACTGCAGACTCCTGCGACTGCAGACCCGGCGATAAGACCGAGAGCCGCGCGTTCCGGGGCAGTTTGCAAAAGGTCACTCTGAGGCAGCACACGCCATCTCAGCATCTCCTCCTTCCTTTTCTGCAGCCTCCCACCAGCGAGAAGAGCAACCACAACCCCGGCACGTCAGAACCCCGCACTTCCAGCTCCTGTTCCCCCCCGCCCCGAGGCTGGGCAAGCCGGGAGACGCTTTTGGCGAGCGCCGTGAGTGAACTCCGCACCTCGCTGCTCTTCTCCTCGTTCTGTGCACTAAACCAGGCTCCTGCAAACAGCCACCGCCAGCAGCGCTTGGATTTCGGAGCCCGGGACCGAGCGCTCCGCTGCGCCCCAGCGCCGGCGGTGCGGAGCAGGCGACACCCTAAACAATAAGGGGGTGACCCTCGGGAGCTGGGGGTGCTCACCTGCGGGTTTCCTGTTGTACTTCAGCACTTCGCAGAGCACCAGCTTGTTGGGGTCCAGGCAGAAAGGGTCCCTGAACATGCAGACCGGCACCAGGAACATGTCACTGTTGGAGCCCTCTGCCTGTGCCGTGCTGGAGCCATCGAAATTCCACTCGGGGACATCTGCGAGGCAGGAGGGGACGGAGGTGGGAGTGAGGTTGGGAAAAGGGTCACATACGGATTGTGCCAAGTGCTGGCGGATCAGACCCAGGACGGAGCACCCAAAGGGTGCCGAGCTCCATGGGATGTCAGCCGCAAAGGTTTTCTTGCACATCCCCGGAGCCCGTCGATGCTCCCTGAGCGTCAGCGTGTTCACCCCACCCCAGCACCATCAGGCACGGGCAGGATCAGTCCCAGCCACTCCACCTCCCTCTGCAAAACCCCATCCAGATGCCGCCTGTTTGCCTTGTGGAAAGGGGCGAGGAACTCATTCTCCCCTTCCCACCCAGCACTAACAGCAGAGATCAGCGGATTAAACCGCAGGGACGCAGGTTGGATATTCACCCTGCTGCTGGGTGCAACCCCACCTGACAGCTGCAACAGGTACCCCTGGTGCCACACAACCAGGGAGAGCCCGGCCCAACTCCCACCGCCCGAGGCACCCCAAAACTTTTCCCAGCGATGCTCAGGGCCCTCCACCACACCACCCATCACCCGAGGGACAAGCAGCCGCGTTACCTTCGATGCTCTTGGGCTCCTTTTCGAGGGTCCTGCTCTTGCAGCGCACACCCTCGCCGCTGCCGTCGATCCAGACGTAGGTGACCTGAACCCTCCCATCCTGGGGCAGCCTCATGTACTGCTCCCGCACCAGCTTGTTCAGCCTGGAGCTGTGCGACACCGACATGGCGACGGCCCTGCGAGGGCGCACAGGTGAGTGCCACATCACCCCTGCCCATCTCCCCACGGGGGTTTTACAAACCAACCTCCCAGCCCACAAAAAGCCACCCAAACTCCCCCACCACCACCACCCCGGCTGTTTCCCACAGCGGGATTCGAACCTGCCACCCCCTGGCTCACCAGCCCCGGCGCTGCCCGCCCGCTCCGCCCGCGTTTTAAAGGCGCCCGCGGCCGGGGGCGGCGCGGACGCGGCTCCGCCCCGGGGCGGCAGGGCCGGGCCCCGCTCCCCACCTCCGGGACACCCATTGAGGACGTTTAGTGTTGTTTTATTTACTTATTAAAATATTAATTATTAAAAAAGACGGCTATCGCACAGCTAAAGCACCACTTTATTTAAAAAGTAGTGGATTGTTGGCTCAATAACTTATTGTTTATTTAAAACAAACGGGTGTTACTCACTGAAAATTATGTTTACCACCTCCAGTTCCCCCTCTGAGTGTGTCATCCCTGTTTGTGTAGGGGTGCCCTCGTACACGCGTGCAGGTGTTTTACTCCCAGCGCTGTCAAGGGGGGAGCTGGGGAGGCTGCTGGCTTGTGGTCCCCCAGCACCCCAAAACCTGGCTGCGACCATGTGGATGTGTGATGGGATGGATCTGGATGGTCCTGGAGACATCAGTGGCAACGAGATCCCTGGAACAGGGGCAGCCAGATTCCCGGGACAGGGACAGACCAAGCCGTGGGGACAGGGACCGATGCCCGGCAGCCCTTCCATTGCCTCTCTCCCCCCATCCTGCCCTGGACACCCCAGGAACGACCCCTTCCCACACGGCTTCAGCCCCCCGTGGCTGCAGGGCTGGGTTTGCCCCCAGGGCTTTCCTTGGAAGGGAGGAAAGGCTGAGAGCTGCTGGGGAAACACCACAAATAAACCGCTGAGTTAAAGCACAATTTTTAAGCACCAGAGCGTAGTAGAGTCTCTTTAAACTCCCAATCTAGCCAAGCTTAGCACAGGCTGTGCTGTGATTTAAAGTCAGCTAAAAACCCTCAGCCAACAGGTGTGAATTTGAGTCGATTATTTCAATATAGCAGCAATTTCCAGCTATTGAGCCGAACGCAGATCCAATTAGGTGAATTAAACGCTTCGCTGCCTTCCCAGTTTTCCATAGATGCTGCGTGAGAGGCTCCCACGAGTGGGAGCAGACAGACCCCAAACGTGCCAGGGCACAGGCAGCACGGGCACAGCCCGTGCCGGCGCCGCCGGGGGTTATCTCAAACACTCCCGGATTTTGTGTCTGGGAGGAGGGCAAGATTCCAAACAACTTCCCCCCCAAGCAAACCTGGCGGAGTGAGCGCGCCTGACTCTCCAGCCTCGGGTTTTAAGCAGTTTTCCGATGTTATAAAAGGAGAAAAGGCTTTAAGGCATGTCTGGGCTCTAAAGCAGTTGGGTTTTTGCTAATTTCCCCGGTTCATAAGACAGTTTGTGGCTGCCTGACTCACCCCAAGGAATGTTTTTCTGCAAAACAACACGGCAGCTAAAAAAACTGCTTCACGGTTGATTGCCCCCCACAGGACATCTCCTCCCCGGGCACTGACCCAAGACATCAGCTCTGTTTTTCTTCTGAAGGTGTTTTGGTCCCGCAGGCAGATAAAGAATCGGGAAGAAACCTGAAAGCACTTGGGATTGCACAAGAACCAGGAAATGAGATTGGCAGCGACAGAGGCAAAACTCAATTAGCAACTTCGGTGACCGGGCGGTGACATCAGCGGCAGCGGGCTGCGGGCGGGCCAGACGTCACCCCCCAAAACTGCTGGGTGCTGCCCCGAGCAGAGCCCTGGGAGGGAGGCTGGCACACGAGGATGTGCCCAAGGTCCCTGGAGCAGCGGTGGCAGAGCCAGCAGGTCTCCCCCGTGTCCTTGACGCTGCCCCGGTGACATTCAGGGTGTTTTACAACCGAAGCCGGGGTGCAGCTCGAAAGCAGCCACCTCCCTCTGCGGGGTATTTTAGGGACACATCCACGTGGCTGCAAAGCTCAGCATTTCCTCGTTCTTGTTTGGAAACCGTCCCAGGGCAGGAGGAAATGCACCCCTGGGTGTGCAGCCCTTTTCCCGGAGGCGTTGCAGCACCGAGCCGGCGCCGTGCCGGGGAGGCGTCCGCGGCTCCGCCGGATCCTCGGCTCCCTGCTCCCGTCTCCAT